ACAATTCTACAATACACCATCTATATATTGTATTGTGTTTACCACCCGAAGTCAAGTCTCCTTCCATCACCATTTCTACCCCCATTATCCTCTTCTACCTCCTCCCTCCCTCTTCCCTCTAGCAATCACCTTACTGTTGTCTGTGTCCATGAGTCTTTTTTTTATTCTTTGCTTAATCCCTTCACCCTTCTCACCAAGACGCCAACCCCCTCCCCTCTGAAAGCTAACAGTCTGTTTTCTGTATCTATGAGTCTGTCTCTACTTTGTTAATTAATTTTGTTCATTAGATTTCATGTGTAAGTGAAATCACATGGTGCTTGTCTTTCTCTGACTGGCGTATTTCACTTAGCATAATACTCTCCAGGTCCATCCATGCTGTAGCAAAAGATAAGATTTCCTTCTTTATTACAGTTGAATAGTTTTCCATTGTGTAAATGTATCACAGCTTTTGTATCCACTCATCTACTGATGGGCACTTGAGCTGCTTCCAAATCTTGGCTATTGTAAATAACACTGCAATGAACATAGGAATATATATATATATATATATATATATATATATATATATTTTGGTACATGCCCCTAGCGGAAACTTAACCCAGGACTCTCTGGTCCGCAGGCCAATGCTCCAACCGCTGAGCCAAACTGGCCAGAGTGGGGTGCATATATTCTTTTGAATTTGTGTTTTAAGTTTCTTTGGATATAGTCCCAGAAGTGGAATTGCTGGGTCATAAGGCAGTTCTATTTAAAAAATTTTTTTTGCGGTAACTCCATGCTCCTTTCCACAGTGGCTGCACCAGTCTGCATTCCCACCAACAGTGCACAAGGGTTCCCTTTCTCCACATCCTCCATAACACTTGTTATTTGTTGATATATTGATGATCGCTATTCTGGTAGGTGTGAGGTGATTTTTCATTGTGCTTTTAATTTGCATTTCTCTGATAATTAGTGACATTGAGCATCCTTTCATGTCTACTGGCCATCTTTGGGAAGGGTTGATTCAGGTCCTTTGCCCAATTCTTAATTGGATTGGGGTTTATGTGTATGTGTTGAGTTTTATAAGTTCTGTATAAATTCTGTGTTTTTGTTTTGTTTTGTTTTTGGTATGTGCCCCTAGTGGGAACCGAACAAGGGACTCTCTGGTCCACAGGCCAAAGCTCCAACCACTGAGCCAAACTGGCCAGGGCATTTAACCCCTTATCAGATGTATTAGAGAATATGTCCTTTAATTTTGTTGATGGTTTCCTTTACTATGCAAAAACATTTCAGTTTGGTGTAATTCCATTTGTTTACTTTTTTCTTTAGTTTCCCTTGCCCAAGACAATATATTAGAAAAAAAATATATTATTATGAGAAATGTCCAAGATTTTACTGCCTATGTTTTCTTCTAGGATTTTTATGGTTTCGAGTCTAACATTTAACTCTTAATCCATTTTGAGTTTATTCTTGTGTATGGTGTAAGAAGGTGGTCTAGTTACATGTTTTTGCAAGTATGTGCCCAATATTCCCAACACCATTTATTGAATAACTATATTTAGCCCACTGTATGTTTTTGCCTCCTTTGTCAAATATTAATTGACTATAAAAGCATGGGTACATTTATGGGCTCTCTATTCTGTTTCATTGATCTATATGTTTGCTTTTATGCCAGAACCATGCTGTTTTGATTACTGTGGCCTTGTAGTGTAGGTTGATGTTTTTCTTTCATAAGACTGCTGTGGCAATTCAGGGTCTTTTGTGGTTTCATATACATTTTTGTAATATTTTTCCTAATTCTGTGAAATACGTCATTGGTATCTTGATAGAAATTGCACTGAATCTATAGATTGCTTTGGGTAGTAGGGATATTTTAATGATGTTCTTTTTTCTATCCATGAACATTATATATACTTCCACTTACTTGTATTTTTTTCAGTGTCATAATTTTCTGAGTACAGGTTTTTACATCCTTGGTTAAATTTATTTATAGGTTTTTTTTTTAAGCAGTTGTAAATGGGATTTTCTTAGTTTCCCTTTCTTATAGTTCATTTTTGGGGTATAAAAACTGATTTCTGGATATCAAAACTGATTTCTGGATATTCATTTTGTATCCTGCTACTTTACTGAATTTATTTTTCAGTTCTAGTCATTTTGGTGGGATCTTTGGGGTTCCTTCTGAGTTTTAAAGCTCTTAAGCCTTCAGTAGCAAAGAGCAGTTTGACAAAGATTTTGTCCTCTTTCCTTATAAGCCCAATTTAGTGGCCTGTGTTTTTTTTATTAAAAAAATTTTTTTTCTTTATTGATTTTAGAGAGAGAGGAAGGGAGATGGAGAGAGAGATAGAAACATCAATGAGAGAGAACATCGATTGGCCGCCTCCTGCATGCCCCCCACGGGGGATCAGGCCCACAACCTGGGCACGTGCCCTAACCGGGAATCAAACTGGCGACCTCTTGGTGCATGGGTTGATGCTCACCCACTGAGCCACACCAGCTGGGCTTAGCGGCCTGTTTTAAAGTTGCCTATGATTTATTTTTTTTCTTAGAATAAAATCCAAACTTTATACCTGGCCTCTATAGCCTGCATGATCTGATTCCTGCCAACCTCTTTAACTTCATCTTTTATTCTTCTGCCTCGCCATCACTGGTCTCCAGCCAACTCCTTATTCTCTTTGGGTCCTCACACCGTTACATCATCTGGTTAGAAATGCACTTACCTGGGCCCTTCCCAGGCCCAGCCACCCTTTGGATCTCAGCTAGAAGCATTGCCTGAAACATCACCCTATCTGAAGGAGATTTCTCAGGGTCTCTGTTACACAGCTCAGTTTATCTATGTCATAGTATTAATTACAGTCGGTAACTATCTTGAGTATAGGTTGTTGTGCTCCTTTACTGTTTATGTCCTTGCAGTAGATTATTAGATCTCCATGGGCAAGGACTTTGTCTTTCTTGCTCACAACCATTGTCTTCAGCACCTAGAACTATGCCTGGCAGAGAGTAGGGGCTTAATTAGTAATTGTTGAATGAACAAAAAATTCTTCTTTCTTATGGTGCACACCAAGGCCCTATTCTCAGCCTCCTGTGCTGAGTGTGCAGCTTCTGCCCTTCTAAATCCACTCTACTCTTCTATCTGACTCTGTGACCTGGGAAAGTGAAATCTGGTACTGTGTCATCTGGGCTTCCTCACCCTCTGGCATTTATTTGGGGATGGACAATAAGGCGCTGGAAGAAACTGAGAAGAAGGAGAGACAGGTCAGTCTGTCTGTCCCCCAGGGTCTCTCCTGGCAGAGTTACCTCGACCCCGGTTGTTCCCTTTTCCCCCTTCAGGGCCTAGAAATCAGCAGGAAAAAGGAAAGAGAGGTTGGGGTGCTGATTTTGTTGTTGTTGGTAGGACATCAGCAGTAGTTGTATTCTAAAGTCCACAGTTCTCAACAGGTGGCCTTCTGCCCCTATTGCCACATTAGCTGTTAGGGAAGTGTTGGCTCCCTGCTATCTCCATTCCTTGCTGAGTTCCTTGAAGTTTACCTACAACTGTGTAAATAGTCCTTTTACTAATCAACTCTTGATTAATACTCCATTTGAGCTTGTCGTTCTTTTCTACTGGGACCCTCAGGTTATTCATTTATCATCTGTGAAAAAAGAAAGTTGACTAAGTGAAATTTTGGATGGATCTGCATTTCTAGTGTGATTACTGCTAGTGACCTGCGAAACCAGGGATGGATCCTGATAAAACTTGGTGCAATCTGAGTTGTGTAAAGATGTACCTCCTGCTCTGTTTGTAGTTCAGTGTGCCTGCCCTGTAAGCTGATAAAGTTTGGGCTGTGTACATGTCATGCAACTTTCAAATGCTTATGATAGGATTTTGTCCAAAGATTGAGGATAGGGTTGTTGTGAAAGAGAGGTCTAGATTCTTGGCGGTTTCATAAGTATGTCAGAATTGAAATAAAGGAGGAGGCTTTCATGCCTTAATTCTGTGGGCATTCTCTTTTCAGATCATCTTGTTTTGAGCCAAGTGCCCACCCCACCCACTTCCTCCTGATGCTACCTTTGTGGATAAAGAACCACCCCAAATAAACCCACACGCAGAGAGATAAAACCAGGGAGGGGTGGGCTGACCTCTAAATATGTGCATATTTCAGTGGTGAGCCCAAACTTGCTTGATCGAGTAAGGTTGGGATGAACTCTCCTAGGATCACAGAGGCTTAGAGTTGGGATACATCTTAAAATTCATCAATTCTCACTCCTAATGAATTGGTCAATGCCAGTCAACTTCTCCAAGTCTTTCAAACTCTGCTTAAATAGCTGCATGGACTAGAACCAGGGAGTGAGTAGATTTTTAAAGATGGTCTGTTTGATTTTGGCTGGATTTAGGACATTGTGTCTGACAAAGAGCTTTTTTTTAAAAGAAAGAAAGCAAAAAAAAATATGGGGTTTAGTTTTGCTCTATGGCCTTCTGTCCCTTCTCTGCCACCACCAGGTTTGTGACTCTTCCTGGGTTTCAGATTCCTAAATGGAACACTAAGGACGTGGTCTTGGATGCCATAGTGAATCCCTCCCATTTGCTGGGCACTGCAAGCTTTCGAGAGTGCTATGGGGTGCTTTGCACTTATAGGTTAGACCGAGCTATGTCTTAATTTTTCTGACAGTGATAGAAGTGTGACCTCCTGGTAATACCAAGAGAGTGTTTGGTTTTGTTCCTTTGGTAACTGGAATATGAGTCCACTGGTCCTGTTCACTTTTCCACTGTGCCTTAAGCATACTGTTATTATTGAATGGACTTCAGGAATGCCATGATGTGGACTTCTTTAGTCCTTGCAGTGGCCGGGCAGTCAGGTGGTTATCTCTGTCTATGAACTTTATCCAGATGTACCATACAAATATGATCATTTCCTTCTGTGTACCATGATGGGATAAGGATCGGGAAATATTATTCTCTTGACCCTCCCCTTCCTCCTGCCCTCACTCCCTCCACAACTTCTCACTTTCTGTGTATTCATCAATCCTTATTTCCTTGTGGTTTATAGATGATCATGATGCAGTCCTGAGGTTTAATGGGGCACCTACAGCCAACTTTCAACAGGATGTGGGCACGAAAACCACCATTCGCCTGATGAACTCTCAGGTAAAAATTTTTTTGTGCAGATAGGGTTTTGAGGAGTAAGTGAGAAAATCCACGCAAAGCACTTAAGTGCCTGGCACTTATGTCAGTAAATGTTAGCTGCTCTAATACGTATGTGTGCAGACACCGAGATGAGTGTGGAGGACACAATGGTGAGCGAAGCGGACTTGCCCTTGTTCTCATGTGACTAAGAGATACAATCAAATAGTCATGCAAAGGAACTTGAAGTTGCAATAGAGAACTGTAAAAAAGAGGGTCAAGATGTTACCAGCGCCCATCAGAAGGAAATTCTCCCTAATCAAGGAAGTCAGGAAAAGGGAGGGGGTGATACTTAGCTGTGTGGGAAGAGAAGGAGAAGACAAGAAGGGTGAGACAAGAGCCTTTCAAAAAGAGGCAACAGTGTAGGTAAGGCCTCGTGGAAGTGAACAGGGGCACGAGGACCTAGGAAGAGAGGAGTGTGTGGGGCCGGGGGGTGGGGTATGTGGTACAAGATGAGGTTGAAGGTAAGAAGGTACCAAGCAATGGGGCTGCATTTAAGTATTTTTATTATTATTATTTTTAATTAACTTATTTTTGTTACAGATGTTCCCCCCCCCCCCACTGACACCCTTTAATTTTATTATGTTTATTGGGGTGACATTGATTAATGAAATTATATAGGTTTCAAGTGTACAGTTCTACATCATCTGCATATTGCATTGTGTGTTCACCACCCAAAGTGAAATCTTCTTCCATCACCATATATTTGATCCCCTTTACCCTTTTCTACCCCCTTTACCTCTGGTACCACCCATACTGTTGTCTGTGTCTATGAATTTTTGTTCATTTGTTCTTTTGTTTCTTTTAGTTTTATATCCCACATATGAGTGAAATCAAATCATATGCTTCTTGAATTTCTGCATCTGTTTATTTCTTTTAACATAATATTCTCAACATCCATCTATGTTTTCAGACTTGCATTTAGTAAACATCATCGGCTTCCATCTGATCAGAAGCCCTACCATGGATGGAGAGACAGAGGCTCTTGGAGCACCCTGGGCTAGAAATGCTGCTAGTTGCTCCAGAGAAGTGAAGGCGAATGTGAGAAAAAACTGGGTTTGAGAGCTATTTGGTGTGTGCAGCCAACAGGTGTTAGTGTTGAGGTGGATGTGAGAGGTGAAGGAAGAGGGGCCACAGGTGTAATGGGTTTTTGGCTTGTGTAACTGGCTGGCTAGAAGTCACTGAGAGTGGAGGTATTTGAAAATGTTTTGGGTTGTGAGGGCTAGGGTCAGAGAGGGGTGTAGAGATAAAAAATGTGGTTCTGGATATGGTTGATCTGAGCTGCCTTTTAGGTATCTGTGAAGAGGTGTCAAGTAGGCGGCTGGACTGGAGTTCAGTGGAAAGGTCAAGGCTGGAGATGAGAGTTGGTGAGTCGTCTGCATCTATGTGGCGATGAACCAGTGGGACTGGAAGAGCATGAGAGGGAGTGCAGAGAGGGGAGAGGAGAGTCCCAGGCGGGGCTTTGAGGAATGAAAACAGCGCACTGCCAGATGCTACTGAGACACTGGTTGAAATGAAGATTGAAAAGCATTGTTCTCTCTTTAGCAAAATGGAGACCACCAGTGACTTAGCAGCAGCTCTTTGGGAGGGCGCTGAAGCCAGCCAGAAGCCAGACTGGAGTGTGTGGAGGACTGAGTGGCAGGAATGAGGGGGGAAGAAAAAGGTGGATGGTTCTTCTGAGAAGTCTGGCTCTGAAGGGCAGGAGAGAAATAGGGCAATTGCTGTAGAGAGTCGAGGGACCCAGGGCCAGATTTTGTTATTTTTTTAGATTGGAGAGAATTGAATGTTGAACAGTCAATGGGAAGACAGTCACAAAAGGGCAAATACTGTATGATCCCATTTACATGAAGTACCTAGAGTAGTCAATTCATAGAGATGGAAAGTAGGATAGTAGTTTCCAGAGCTTAGTGGGAGGGAGGAATTATTGTGTAATGGGCACAAAGTTTCAGTTTGGAAAGATGAAAAAGTTCTGGAGGTGGATGGTGGTGCTGGTTGTACAACAATGTGACTGTACTTAATGCTACTGAGCCATATACTTAAAAATGGTGAATGGCCCTGGCCAGTTTGGCTCAGCATTTGGAGCTTCTGCCTGTGAACCAGAGTTGTGGGTTTGATTCTGGTCAAGAGCACGTACCTTGGTTGCAGTTTGGTCCCTGGCCCTGGTTGGGATCATATGGGAGGCAACCAATCAATGTGTCCCTCTCACATTGATGTTTCTCTCTCTCTCTCTCTCTCTCCCTCTGTCTCTCTCTCTCATCTCTCCCTCCCTCCCTCCCACTCTATCTGAAGATAAATGGAAAAATATCCTCGGGTGAGGATTTTTTTTTAAAGGTGAAATGGCACATTTTATGTATATTTGATCACAATAAAGAAATTCACCCAGTCGATAATTGAGAAACCAGTTGACAGAGGGAGAAACTGAATATACCAAACAGAGGAGAGAAGTGAAGAGGTGGAGGGGGTTGATCCAAACTCAGCCCAGGATTAACCCCAGCAGGAGGGAGTCAGAGGAAAACGGATGGGAAGGGGTGTAGCTGGGGCAGTTTGTAGTGGAAGCATGTAAGGGCTTCTGTTTTCTCTACAAAGTGGGGTGCAAATTGGAGGGAGGCTGAGGGGGAGAGAGGTGTTAGAGGAGGTTTAAGCCAAGAAGGTTTGAAATTGTCTTTGGGGACAGTGGAGAAGGAGCAAAGCAGTGGAATGGAGTAGAATTTCCAGGCCATGCTGGCCGCATTGAGGCTGAGAGCGCGAATGCAGAGAGAAAGGGAGCTCCATTGATCAGGGTGGTCTGATCAGTGGGCAGCAGCAATCCAGCGAGCGAGTGTGGAGCGGGTCTGAAAAGTCCCTCGGAATGGGGGGCTGCCTGCTTCTTGGGCATCTCTCCATGGTGAGGAACTAAATCTCCATCCCACAAAGATTCTGGAACTCTTTAGAACCAAGGTAAGGTTGCTTACAAATTAAGAGACAGACTTTGATCAAATTACTCCCTCAGCACTTCCTAGGTGAGAGACTGGAGCAAGTCGCCTTATGTTTCTGAGCCTCTGTTCCCCCTTATTTGTAAAGGGGAATAAGAAATGTTACCATGCAGGGCCTTTGTAGGAGCAAATGAGAGTGCTAAGCATGGGCACTTCACTCAGAGGCTCGTAGGCAGCGAAAAGCGCTCTGTAAATGGTGGTGAAGCTTGTCTGTTGGGAAATCACTGTGCCTCCCCAAATCCCGGGCAAATGGGCCTCTTGTCTCCCAGGAGGGATGGTTAACTGGCTGGGGGCCACTTGGTAGGCACTCAGCAGGGGGGGAGTGGGGGAAGGCATCTGCTTAAGGATAATTTTTAAGAAAAAAATTAAGAACGCGACCCTCATATAGATACAAACATGGACATGGGTTAAACAATCTATTTTATTCATATGAGAGAACCAGGCAGATGTTCTAACTAGTTCAGAGGAAAAGTCAAAATAGCATAAATTCTGAGTAAAGGAAAGAAGCTTCTTTCTGTGAGGTGGGAAGGAAAAGGGGGGAAGTCAGTAGAGACTACTGGGCAAGATCGTGTAAACGTCTGTTAACTACGGTTTACAGACTTGTAAAACAGCCCCCACAGAATCAGAATCTGAGGAGAAGAAAGGGTGCACTATAGATAATGCATCGTTTTTCAGAGTACGGCATTTTCTGCCTGCGCCTCCAGATCACTGTGTTCCCTGTGCCAGGGTTGAGAGGAGGGTGACCACGCTGTCCACTCTCCAGAAGGCCTTTCCCAGTCCTCCTTAGGCACACCGACCCTCCTTCCTCTCCTTCCATAAGTGGTACTACCCCTCTGGGCTGTTCCTTGAACACTTTTGTCACAGGCAGCTCCATGACAGTGCTTCCTGTGATACCGATCTGTGACTGCCACCTTTCTATCATTGTCCTTCCTCATGGTCTGTCTTCTCTGTCTTTGTCCTGGTTGGTTACCCCAGCTGTTTGGTGTCTGTTTCTGCGAACAAGTAGAGTGAGTCCCACCACTGCATGCAGAGAGCAGCTGGCACCCAGAAGTCACTGAGGGTATAGCTGTTGCTTTGGTAAATTCTGCCTGGGGGCCGCTCATCGCCCCCCTCCCCGCCAGCTCCCTACAGCACTGTCTTCTGGCGGCCACTGGGCGAGCTGGTTCAGCAACCACCACTCTAATATTCAGAATAATTTCCTGTGTCCCCCACCCCACATGGCACAGGAGAAACTTTTGTACACCTGGGCTGAGACATGGCAACGGAAAACAAAAAGGTGGTTTTCTGATTGAGAAGGTAGCTTTTTGTAGAGTATGGTCTCATACCGTGAAGTTTCAGCAGATCTATTCAGGCATGTATGGGTCGGGCCTTGTTAGGAGAGTCAATAGGAAAACCATATTTAACTCAACGTGCGTCTTTAAATAAACTCAGTTCTGATTTTAAAGGTAAGAAGGTTTCTCGGTGCTCAGCTGAGCCCCTACTGTGCCCAGTAGCCCTGAGGGAGGAGATGATGGGACAAGAAGGCCCAGTGGCTTCCTAAGAAGCCCTGTATAGATTGGGGAGAAAAACCTAGGTCCTGCGAAAGCCATGGTGCGTGCTAACTAGACTGTAACCAGACGTTAATGGGGCTTTTCCTGAGATCACAGCTGTTGCCACTTATTAAATACATTCACTGTCTAAATGACATGCGTTGTGTTCACCGCCCAAAGTCTAGAATGCTTCCCTCACTTTATGCTTTTTGACCCTCTTCTCAAGGATGTTGTCTTGAAAGACTGAATACCTGAAATTTATATAATGTTATTAACCAGTGTTACCCCAATACACTTAATAATAAAAAGGAGTTTATGTGAGTTGCTCTGGGTAGTGCAGAGAGTGCGTGCTAGCTGTGGATTTGGGTCTAGCTTTGTTTGCCAGCAACACTTCAAATCCCCTAAGCTTTCTTTTAAGCTGCAAATTCTCCCTCTCAAAGTGCTGACAGTCTGGATAGGTGGT